TTCCGAGGAGTGGCTGGTGGGTTTGAACCGCCAGCCGTCTGGTTAGCAGGCAAGTGTCTTAGCCACTATGCTACCAGAGCTCCTGTTGAAGCTACTGAAAGTTAAAGAGAAGGGGAGAAATGACAGGATCGGATGTCAATTTAGAAAGATCTCTCTGGCTGCCCCATGGAGTAGGGCTTGGTGGTGGGGTTTACCTTGCTCGGGTGTGGGGCAGGGAAGGTTGATCAGAGGAAGAGTCCTGGGCAGCATGCTTCCAAGGACTGAGGGTGAGGAAGAGGAGGCCTGGTCAAGCAGAGGGAACAGCACATGCAACGGTGTGGAACCTGCCCATTCATGGAGGGGAGAAATGTCTGTTAGCACGTGCCACCCGAGCTTAGCCTGTCATCTTTTTGGAAGAGGAACTTTGAGGAGGGTTAGTGTTTATTGAATACTTAACTGAGGTCCAGGTAATGGAGGCTGCATGGAGGTGAGTGGTCAGGGCAGGACCTGCTGTAAAGCCTGTGTGCTCCTGGGGTTTCTCGTGACCTGGGCCTGGCCCTCCCTGGATAGGGACAGACACCTGATTTGCTGGTCCTGTAAATGCATGTATCTGTTGGGGCTCGATGTATCCTGGCTGTACTCCCAGAGACCGATGCAGCACACAGATGCTAACTCTGGATTCTTGCCGAGAACGTGACTCTCTTTGTGGTAGTACTCTCCTGAGACTAGGGTCAGTGTGCTCCCTTCCTGAAGGCAGGCCTGCCCAGGATGCTACATCAAGGTTGAGGTTAGCTGCTAAGCATTGCATTGGAATTCTTGGGGTCCTTGGTTAGACCCTGGTGAGATGGAACCAGCTCTGCCACACTGACCTATTATTGGGCAGGGTTAAATGTTGAACCCTGGTGCCCAGGACTCCACTTGGATGGGCATTGCCAGTGTCTCTGGGTTCCCACCAGCCTTTTCAAAGGTACATGCTTTAGCTACTTTATCATTCTGGCCTTTGGGCTAGTCTGTATCTTTAAGGCAGTCAGCAGTGGGGAGCTCTGTAACCAATATGGCCAATAGATATGGTTTTTTTGACCCACATAGTGTTTTTTAAAAAATTTGAATTAGTTGCGGCCTGAGCCATTGTCTTGCTAGGTTGAGGCTGTTCTCTTTGGATGGGCCAGGTGTTCCAGCATGGCCGTGGTCCCCAGCTGCCCTGCCTCACTCCTGTTTCCTAGTTTTGAGGGGCATTTCACTGGTACCACCTGGTACTTTCTATGCTCTGGTGGCACAGTGCCCAAGGCATTTGACTACTAACCAAGAGGTTGGTGGTTCAAACCCACCAGCCACTCCATGGAAGGAAGACTGGGCAATCTATTTCCATAAAGATTTACTGCCTCGGAAACCCAGTGGGGGTCGCTGTGAGTTGGAATCAGCTCCATGGCAGTAAGTTTGGTTTGGGTTTCGTTTATGTACTTTTGTCTCACTCGTCTTTGTTATGGGGCTGGGGTGGAGATGGGGTGGCGCTAATACCTGTCAACTTTGCATATATATTTCTCTCTGCTGGACCATGCGTCCTTATCCCCACCCTTAGTCTTTGAAAGCAGATGCTCAGGGCTCCTGTGATAAACCTTCCATGCCTCACACCCAAGCAAAGCTGATCACTGTCAGATTTCCAAGCCTTTGCTCTTTGTTTCAAACCAAGTTGCTTTCTAGGCTTAGCTACAGAAAGGCTTTTCTGAGGGTACTCTGATAAAATGCTAATTGCTGAATATTAAAACAAGTCATAATTTAAATGGATGAATTGTATGGTAGGTAAACTATATCTCAATAAAGCTATTTTAAAATAATCAAATAATCATGTTGATAAAACCTCATGTTAAGAAACAAACAAAAACAGTAATAATTATACCAACTGTGAATTAGTGAGTTCTGCCATATGTCAGGAGCTGTGTGTATAGAGCTAAATAGCTCATTTTGAGTCCACACAAACCAGCTATTATTTTGTAGGTGAGGAAATGTCGGCTCAAAGAGGTTAAATAACTCGCCATGGTAAAGAGTAGTTGATATGAGGTAACGGCGGCCCAGTAGGATGTATTCAGCTCTACCTGATGCTCGGGAACTGAAAGTGAGATTGATTAGTGCTGATGGAGAGGGTGATGGTTTCCCGAAAGAGACAAGACCAAAGCTGTGAGCAGGGGCTTCTGAACTCCAGGGTACTAAAATCTAGAGCCTCAGATGCCCTCCTGAGGACTGTAGACTTATCTTGAAAGTCAGTATGCTTTTCACATTCACTGGAACTGCTCTGCTTTATTGGTTGTGTGTGTTTGGGCTTAGATACCCAATATCTCTTAGAAAAAAGATTTCGTTGGATGGTGGGAGCCATGGAAGGTTTTTGAGCAGGGGTGTGACCTGATCAGACCATAGTTTGGCAGCTCAGACATAGGCTCAGCTAGCCAGGCTGCAGGCAAGGAGACTGGCGGATGTCACATGAATTCTGGCCCTTAATCTCCGACCTGCAAAATGTGATTGCGCTTATGTTCAGTCACTGGACAGGTCTACTTTGAAGACGTCTGGACCTCATTTCCTACCTCCTTCTGCTCCACTGAGCTAAGAGAACAGCTTAGAATTAATATTTAAATTTTGTTCTTTTTTAGGCTGATTGAGGAGTTGAAGCTGTCTTTGAAGAGCAAAGAAGCTTTAATTCAGTGCCTTAAAGAGGAGAAATCTCAGATGGCATCTGCTGATGAAAATGTGGTGTCTGGAGAGCTCCGAGGACTTTCTGTTGCTCTGAGGGAAGAAAAGGAGAGAGAAACTGAGGTGAGGAAACTGGCCGTGAAGTGGGGGACTTTAATTAGCAGACCAGACTCCTCTCTGGGAAATGGAATACACCGTCATTCCCCATAGTTCATACACGGTCTGCTTCTAAACTTCAGTTCCTTGTCACCTGAGGAATAGCAGAAACTGCTTTTGTCTGGTCCCCTCCCTGCCTTTTTTCCTCCCAGCCTTGTGCTTATATAAAGAGTTGATGAAAAAACAGTCCCATATCTGCTTGCCTCTGGTTCACCATGTGCTAATTTAATTTGTTCTTGTCTGGGGACTGCGTTTTCATCTGCTGGGTTTTGCACTGTACATGCCATTTTTACCTTTGTGGTGAGAGGCAGCTTGGACCAGCTTTGCTGTGAGACTTCAGAGGCAGAGAGGGAAGAGAACTAACTTGTAACGAGCCTGGCAGCACATGAAGGGTTTCAGCTTACAGTCTCATTTGATACTCCTGGTCCCCTTGCAAGAGCTCACAGTCCCCTTGTAGAGTTTAGAAACAGGCTCAGAGGAGTGTATTTTCTCAGGCTTCAAGAAGTAGGCTGTTGGTAGCTGTCTCCAAAGCCTCTGTAGACTTTTCCTCCCATACTAGGCGGCCTCTGTGGCAAACCATTTTGGAGAGTGTGGGCAGAATCGGGAAACTCAGGTAGGCCTTAGTTGAGGCCTTTGATTCTTGTGAGGCCAAGAGTGACTGCGGCATGTGGTGCATTCGCCTTGGAGGATGTTCTGGATGTTGAAGGGAAGCTTTACTTTCTTTGTGGTCTTTGTCCCCACCACAGCCATGCATTCTTCAGCCTCACCAGTAGCTTTTGTCTGCAATCAACTCCTCCTTCCATGCTCTTTCCCACTTACTGGGTGCTGTCCTTGCAGGGCTTTCTCATTGTGGTTAGCAACACCTTGGTCTAAGCTCTGTGGTTGGTGATCAGCTAATGGAGATTACCTGTCTTTACATATCTTCTTTCAGATTGGGTGGGTCTTTGGGTGGGGCCGAGAAAAGGAGGGGACCCTTCAGTTTAATGAGTCCCAGCAGTGGAGGAAGGTAAGTCAGTGAGGTGCTCATTTCTGATTGTTCTGGAGGAACTATTGGAAGGAGGATACCTCCTGGGCACCAATTATTATCTTCTCTTAGGCTATACAAATGGAGCTTCAGAAGGAGAGAAATTGCTTTGAAGAGAAGATCCAGGTATGTTGATATACTTTTTAAAAATTTATTGGAGGTTTTCCCTACTCTTGCCTTTTGTTTTATCCTGAGTTCTTTAGATAATTCTGCATGATAATAGTTGTCATTTACTGAAGCGTCAGTCAAGTTTTAGGCACTGTACAGAGGCTTTCTCAGTTTTTGCAGTAACTTTGCTATTTGTTGTTGTTGTTGTTATGTGCCGTCGAGTCGGCCCCGACTCATAGCGACCCCTCCTTGGGTTTCCGAGGCAGTATCACTACGGAAGTAGGATTGCCCAACCTTCCTTTATAGGCATGCCCATTTTGCACTTGTGTCACCTGAGGCTTAGAATGAGGAGGTGCCTTGCCCAAGACTGTATAGTTTGGAAGAATCCTCATAGCAGCATTTAGACCAGCATGCTGGAATCCACAGCCCATGAACTCCCAGTTCCAGCAGCCTGCATTTGTGTAGTGCTTGCTAGTCTAGAAAGTGCTTTCACATCCATTATCTTGTTTGATCCTCACAACAGCCTAGGAAGGAGGCTGTGGTGATTATCTTGAGAAACGAACTCAGACTCTAAATGTATAGTTTAGTCCCCATCACTTCAAATTCTCTGCTAGCTTTTGTAGCATTAAGGAATGAAATTAATGATCTGTTATTTCCCCTAAATAACCTGGTATGGTTTCAAAGGCTGATGTGATGGTATTCAAATTCCAGAAGGCATTGGAGTCCTTCCCACAGGAATAGCTGTCATCATCTTAACTGATCTGATCCCCATCCTTTATCCAGTCCTTTTGCCGTGAGCAGTAGCACAGTAACTTAGAGCTGATGCCACTGTGTTCAGCTCTACTTGGAAACATTAATCACAGGTTGACAGGAATAAGATAGAATAACTGCATTTGAGTGTGCTTTTAAAGATATATTTACAGTGCATTTTGGTTGGGACGCATCAACTTAGTGAATCTTTTTCTAATCTAATTTAGGCACTTCAGGAGGCCCTGAGAGAGAAGGAAAGAGAAATTGCTATAGAAAAGAAAAATAGTTTAAAGCGAGATAAAGCCATTCAGGGTCTAACCATGGCATTGAAATCAAAGGAAAAAGAGGTATGTGCGACGCACCTGAGGTGAGATTTTTCTTTATTAGCTGCTGTGACTGGCCTGTCCTAGCCTGAATTTTTAGCTTGAGGTAAAAAGGTTGTAAGCGTGGTGAAATGAGTATGGACAGTGAGGAAACAGTCCTTTAGTCAATTGGAAATCCTTTGGGCTGTCTAATCCAGCAGCCCTAGTGGTGCAGTGGTTAAGTGCTTGGCTGCTAACTGAAAGGTCAGCAGTTCAAACTCACCAGTAGCTCCATGGGAGAAAGAAGTAGCAGTCTGCTTCTCTAAAGGTTTAGAGCCTTGGAAACCCTACAGGGCTGTTCTATCCTGTCTTATAGGGTCACTGTGAGTCAGATCAACTCAATGGCAACAGATTTTGGGTTATCCAGCATTGTCTGAAAGAAATGCAATGTGACTTACATATAATTTAAAATTTTCTAATAGCCACATTAAAAGAAGTAAAGAAACACTTGAAACTGATTTTAATAATGTATTTTATTTAACCTAATATATCCAAAATATTACCATTTCAGCACACTCAATAAAACAAAATTATGAAGGAAGAATTTTTGCATTCTTTTTTCCAACTCTTTATAGCGCATCTCATTTTGAACTAGGAATATTTCAAATATTCACAACCATATGTGGTTTCTGACTACCATACTGGACAACGCAGGTCTTGTCTTTTGAAAGACGGCAGGAAATAGAGGTAAAGGAGTTAAGATAAAGAGCATGACCATGACTGAACCCTTTAGAAAGCTACATGGGTTGTTGCTTTTGGTATACAAGGTGGTGGCTGATGGTTTTATGCTTGTTTTCTTGTCTTTGGTTAATATTGCAATCGGTTGTATTCCAGTAACTGTGCTAGGCACAGATGCAGAGAAGAAAGCAAGGTGGGGAAGAAAGACAAAGAGTGATAGATATTGTGAACGCAGGAAGCAGGGGTTGTGAAAGCTGCAGGAAGGGTATCTAATCCACCTTAGAGTGTATATGTGTGCAGTGGGGAGGAGTGCCGAGAGGAGAACATGCCTGAGCTGAATCTTAAAGGGAGAGTAGAAGTGAGTTGGGAAGGTAGGCGGGGGTGACGAGCCTATTCTAGACACAGGACAGAACACTGGCAAAGGTACTGAGTTAGGAAAGAGCCTAATCTCTGTGTGTGGAAACACAAACATTTGGGGTTGCTGGAACCCAAAATACAAAATTTAACTGAGGTGAGAGAAAAAGCTGGAGAGATTGCAAGGGACCAGCCATATTAACCATTGTATCATGTGCTGGGTTTTCAGGGCTGGTTGACATTGGAGATCTTCAGTATGCAGTAAAAGCATTTGGGCTGCATAAAGGGAAGAGGTACCAGTGGTGCAACTGTTCTGGGTGCTAGCAAGGTCCAGGCTGTGGCCATGGTATTTCAGAACTGTGCTGGGATATAGGAGAGGCTAAGTTATTGAGTGGACCATCTATATGTGGATGATAATAACAATACTTACTATGAGCCACGCTTTATGGTAGCGCTTAGACACATTACTTCATCTAACATTACCAACCCTATGATTGAGCGAGTGATGGTAGCCTCATTTTATAGTTGAGGCAATTGCGGCTCAAAGAGGTTAAGTACCTTGCCTAGTAATCCAGTTGGTAAATAGCCAAACTAGAAATTCCATTCAGATAGTATCTGATTACAGAGGCTTTGATCTTAAGCGCTACACAATTGAGCAGGGAAAGCATTTGAGTCATGCAGAGAGAACAGAGCCCAGTTGTATACTGGCTGCCATTCCTTATTTTTCCCCAGGTTGACGAACTTAACGCTGAAATTGAAGAGCTCAGTGCTGCCTTTGCTAAAGTCAGAGAGGCCTCCCAGACAGCACAGACCCAGAAATTCCAAGTAAGTATTCACATTGGCTTAAATCGCTGTCTCTGTAATCCTTACCCCTGGTGAGGTCAGGACTTTGCAGCTGAAAGGAACTTGGATGATTTTGATAAGAATATATGGGTGTCCTTTAGCAACAGAATTGAGCCCAGTTTAATTAAAGGGCAATTCTCCGTGGGATTTGGATGCTTCTCCAGTTTCCCCATCAGTGTTTCCCATGCTGGAAGACTCCTGTCTGAGGAACAGTGGAATGGAGTCAGACACCTTGACTCATGGCAGTGACAATGACAGCTACCACACAGTTAGGAGTGCTGAGTTACTCTGTGCCGTAGCAGACTGTGCAAGATATATAGATTATCTCATATAATCTTTAACACAACTCTGTGGGTTAGGTTATTATCACCCCCCCTTGAATTTGTGCGGTTATTTAGGCTCAGAGAAGGTACGTGGCTTATTCAGTGTCACACAGCTAGCAAGTGGCAGGTCCAGGATTTAAATGTAGTAATTGCTAGTAACAATAGCTGGCATTTATTGAACACATACTTTGTGCCAAGACCTATACTAAGCACTCTCCATGGATCATCTCAGTGAATCTGCAGAGTTAGTCTAGGAAGTAGGAGCTGTTATTATTCCAGATTCAGAGAGATTCAAGTAACTAGCTTAAAGTCATGAAACTGGTAAGTGATAGAGTTAGCATTTGACCTTAGAGCTACTGTCATTCCAAAGCGTGTGCCTTTCACCCCATACATCCCGTCATCTGGACTCTTCAGTTCTGCCTGCTCCTTGCCAGGTATCTGTTCCCATGTCTCTACAAATAGGGGTATGGGTCCCAGGTTTTGATGCTTTTGACCTGCCTCTTGTCTTTTTCCCCTTAGATTGTACCAGAAGGACACCTGCTTAGTCATCCCTGATCTTCCTTCTTTTTTCTTAATTTTAGTTCTGTTTTTGATTATTTTAACATGTTTCTAGTTTACATGTACAGTGTATACCTATTGGCAATAACTTTAATGAATCATGGAAGTTCCATCATTTGAATAAATCCTTACTGCCTAAAGCTCCCCTTTCTCCCTCCCTCTACCAATATTGCTTTTGGTTATAAAGTAGAAGTTAGAAGGTAAACCTAATTTAAGACTCTCTGGCTCATAAGATTCCTATCCCATGCCTTATCTTTTGTAGAGCTTTGGTTCACAGTGGGAATAATTGAAGTAATGTGGTTTAAATCATGATTGCTAGAAGCATAGGTAGATCTCTGCCTTTGGACTCTTTGACTTGCCACCCCCCTCCCAACCCCTGCCCCATTTTGACCATGGTTGATGAATAGAGCTAAGATTGTACTTTTCATTTGAGTTTGTTTGTTTTCCTTGCTTAGGAAACAAGTTTTCTAAGCTGAATTCTCAGGATAATCGTCCATATTTCCCATTGTTTCAGAAGAAAATCAGAGAGATGGTGGCAGTTCACAACCAGAGGCACCAGACATCTTTATCAGTATTATGATATTTTACTTGTTATGTTGTCTACAAAGGAGAGAAAGGAATTTTATAACTTTAATGTTACGCAGATTTCTTATAGACTTACTAACTTCATAGTCCTCAGTCTTAGTCAAAAAGCTTTAGGAATGATATTTGAGACTTTCTAATGCACAGTGTTGGACAGGTTTCCTGACTTGCACTGTACAATTCAGGAATGGTTGAAATGCCTCAGGTTGTACATGTTAGGTTGGCTGTCTGGGAGCCCTTATTTAATCCTGACTGCTGTACATGGAGGCAGCTTGTTGACCAATTTCATAGGTTGCCAGGACTCAGCTCAAGTCTGATTCCAAAGTCCGTGTTCTGTCCGCTACTCTGGGTGCATGTAAATGTACACAGCACACTTATAGTGGCTATTTTATTATGAGGTCTGTCTGCTCAGCTTGAATGTTACACAGACACTTGTCAACATGCTCTTGCATGTATTGCAACCTTGTAGGGTTGTCATATGATTGAACTAATTGCTGTCCACTGTTAGAAAATGGCATAGTGCCTAAGGGATTTGACTGCTAACCAGAAGGCTGGTGGTTCAAACCCACCAGCCACTCCTTGGAAGGAAATTTGGGCAATCCATTTCCGTAGCGATACCACCTCAGAAACCCAAGGAGGGGTCGCTATGAGTCAGATCTGACTCCAGGGCAGCAAGTTTGGTTTTATTTTTGTCATCGAGTTGATTCTGACTCATGGTGACCCTATAGGACAGAGAAGAACTGCCCCACAGGGTTTCCAAGGCTGTAAATCTTTACGGAAGCAGACTGCCTCATCTTTCTGCAACAGAGCGGCTGGTGGGTTCAAACTCCTGACTGTTTGGTTAGTAGCCAAATGTTTTAATCATTATGCCACCAGATCTCCTTGAACTAATTGCAGCGTAGTAAAATAGTGAAAGTTTGCAGAGTTGGCATTTAAGCCTGACATTGAAGCAACAGCAAGTGATATTCAGTGTCTTGGCATGGTTGCCACAGTACGGAGGCACAAAGACTTGAATTCAAATCCTAGATGTGACTTTGTGAAGGTTACAATAGGGGCTGGTTGGCTACCTTCTTACCTGTTTAAAAAGGTTATATTCACATTGGAAATGACATTTTTCCTCCCTACCCCCAGGCTATACAAGTAAAAATGCACACTGTAGGAAATTTATATTTAGAAGAATGTAAAGAGGTTGATTAAAATACCAGTGAACTCACCAGCTAGGGTTATCTACTACTAATGGTTTTGGCCTGAATTTTAGTTTGTTGTTGTTATTGAGAATATACACAGCAAAACATGTACCTGTCCAACATTTGCTACGTGTCCAGTTTAGTGGCGTTAATTACTTTCTTCAAGTTGTGCAGTCACTCTTGCCCTCCTTTTCTGAGTTGTTCTTCCCTCGACACAAACTTACTGCCCCCTGAGGTTCTCGTCTCATCTTTGGAGTTGCTGTTGTCACTTTGATCCCATATAGATAATTCTTGAAAGAGCATAATTTTTTTTTTTTTTTTTATTTGTTAAGCTGGACTGTTGTTTGGTTTTAAGATGACTTAAGGTGATATTTTTGTTTAAGGTTTAAAGATTATCATAGGGCAGTAGTTTCAGGGGTCATCCAACCTCCATGACTCTAGAAAGTCTATAGTCCATGAGAATTTGAAATTCTGTTCTGCATTTTCCCCATTTTGATCAGGATTCTTCTGGGAAATCTTTGATCAGAATGTTCAGTAATGGTAGCCAGGCACTAACCCCTTCTGGTCTCCTGGCAAAGGAGGCAGTTGTTCATGGAGGCCATAGCCACACATCCCTCATCCTCCTCCTGTTCCTGAGTCTCCTTCCTCTGTTGCTCCAGGTAAATAGAGACCTTTGCTGTGAATGGCCGCTTGCAGACTTTTAAGACTCCAGGCATTATGCAGGGAACTAGGAGGAGGAATAGAAAAGCACTGAAAACGTTATTAGGCCAATGAACTGGGATGTCCCAAGAAACCATGACCCTAAACCTCCAAACCAAGGAACCAAATCCCATGAGGTGTTTGTGCATGAGCAGCCTCAGCAGCTCTTTTCATGTTGTTGTAGTAAATACATCTATCACACACCTTTTGCAATTCAGCTTTTTATAGGTGTGCTGTTTATTGACAGCAATTAAAGTAATTGGCTGTGCAGCCCTACCCTTAATCTATGTGATTTTTTTTCATCACCATTAAACTCCACTTTCCACATCCCTCCTGCCTCTGGTAACCACTAGTAAGCTCTAGACTCTATACATTTACAATATCATAACATTACCCTGTGTTCCTTCCAAAATCTTCATCTTATTTATATTTCAGGTCCTGGATGTTGCTTATGTTGAGTTAATCATTTTCCTTCCCTTCCCTTCCCTAAGGTGAAGATGGAGCACAGGTTTTGGTTTGTTTAATGAGGTATGAAAATCAGCTCATCTGCCCTCCGTCCCTTCTCATCTAGGGGTCTGAAGAGTATGAGGCTGCTCTGTTAGAAAAAGAAGCCCTTTTGGCTGAACTGCGCTCAGAAAACCTCACCAAGAATACAGAGAACCACAGACTGTGTAGGAACATTAAGAAGGTCACCCAGTTGCTGAGCGACTTGCAGCAGGAGAGGGAGAGACTAGAAAAGGACCTGGAAGAAGGCCGTCGAGAGAAGGCCAAAGATGACTGTACTATCCTTGTGAGTACTGCCCTTCCCTTCGGAATGGCGGGCGGTACGCTTGGGCTGGGCCATTCGGCTATTGCTGGTTATAGGAAGATAGTTACTGCAGAAAACTTAGAAAAATATGTAAAATATAAACAAGAAAACATTTCGCCTATTCTGTCATCAGGTTCAAAGTCCAGTCTTCACTGTCTGATGTTTCATCCCATTCACAAACACACACACACACACACACACATCATGGGCATCAAGCTGAAAATACAGTTTTTATTCAGTGTTCTCTCTAGTGTATTTCCATGTCATGACTGTTCTTCAACAACATGTTTTTCTCCCCCAGCGTAATATTTCTTTTCTCCCTTGGTTGTACTGTAATTTACTTGACTATTCCCACATTGTAGGTCATTTTGGTCATTCACCCTTTTATTTGCTTTTTAATGAACTCTGCAGCAAATGTCCTTGTACATAAATATTTATCCACTAATTATTTCCTTTTAGAGGTATAATTACTGGGTCAAAGACTATGATATTTTAAAGACGATTTTTATGTACTCTCAAATTGTCTTTTGGACGATTGTACAGGTTTCTTTATATGAGAGTGTGCTCTGTTTTTTTTAAGATGTGGTCTATTGAACATTGGGTGTTAGCATTTAAAATCTTTTCTCTAAATTTAGAGGTAAAATATGGATGCTTTATCTTTTAGAATTTCAATTATATTTAAACTTACATATTCAGCATCTTTTAATTTAATCCCTCCTGAGAACAGCACCCAGATACACTCACTCCCTTGGTGCCGGCAGATAGGAGAGGGTGGGAGCGGAGCTGAGTGATCACTGATGTTCAGGCTGATTGAATTACCTGCACTGGAGCCTGGGGGCAGCTGGAATCTGAACAGTGGAGACCTTTGAAGAACCCACAGGTACCAGCGGTTAGTTCTCTGGTGGTGGCTGTTGGTAGGAATGCCACACCCGTTGTTTGAAATCCCTAATGTTAACACTGAGGACAGAATTGAAATACAAATTTTTTTGTACTTTATCAAAAATTTTAATGAGCATTAGATGAGCTGTAATGGAAATTTTAGAAAAATGAGGAGATGTCACCTAGAATTCCATGGCTTCGAGCAACTGTTTCAGTATTACCCTCTCGTCCTTGTGTAGCAAGGCTCCCAGTGTCATCAAAAAACAGTGTTTTTTGATCACTTACTTGATCAAGGACATTTTGTGTGTTGTGTAGGCTAGATGATGTGGAGTGGTGCATACTTGTTCATTAACTAAATCTCTTGTGATTCACTTAAAAATTTCCTCATTTGTTGGGTATGTTGACTGTTTAAATAATGCCACAAGGAACAGTGTCACTGGGGAGAAAGTCTTTTTTTCTTCTCTTAAAATCCCTTGGTTAGATTTTGAGGAGTGAGATTATTGAGTCAGATGGTACAAGTATTTTACACCAGTTAATCTGGCTGCCAAAGTATTTGTCCAAAGGGCTGGCTCAGTTTAGGCTGCCACGACAACATGGCAGCGTCCCCGTTGGCTGCGTGTTATTAAAAGCCCTGTTAATTCATATTTATCCAGTGTTACTGAGTACCAAATGGGCCTGATTGAGATGCTGGCAGAAGTGCAAGGCACGACCTCTTAAGTTTTATTTTTCTAAAGGAGGTGGCTGTGTTATCATGACAAAATGCAATGCTGTTAAAATCCAGGGCTAATTAGGGAGTGTAGATACTCAGGAGGGTGGAGTCAGGGAAGTCTTCTCAGAGGAGGTGACACTTGGGGTGAATAAGACGGATAAGATTCAAGTAGTGGGCCTTTATGGATGAAGTAAAGAAAAGGCTGGACAGAGGGTCTTTCTATAGATTTGCTGTTTGCATAGTTAGGTCTGAAGTTCTTACATCCTTCACTGTTGGATAACAGTTTTTGAAATTTAAAATAGTTCATTCTCTCACCATAAAAATGCGAATTCACCAAAATTTGGGTGGCAGGAGATACATACGTGCATTGTAACTTAGTTTTGGTAATGTTTGCCATGGCTTCATAACATTGCGTCAAGTGGATATGCTGTAATTTAGTTACCTGTCCCTCTGTTGTCAGACTTTGTTTGTTGGTTCCATAGTTCACTGGAGCTTTCTAAAAGAATTTTGGGCTGCTGCTGTTACAAAGATGTATTCCTATATAACCTGTAAACATACTCATAAGGAGGCAAGGAATGGAAGGGAAAGTGATGGAGAGCAGGAAGGATTGGATGAAGTACTCTATGAGTAGGACTTTCTTGCAAGTGGCAGAAATCCACCTTGAACTAACTTAGGTAAAAAGAAGTGACTAGAAATATGGCCAGGACTGACAGACTGTCTCTGAGAGGGGCTCCTTTCTCCTGAGTTGGCTTACTCTAGTTCCAGGGTTGGATCCCTCTTTGCCAGTTTACTGCATAACAGAAAGGAGCACTCTCACACGCCACTACCCCCACTGACTTTCTGTTATGATAGCCAGAGGGGTGAGGTACTGAGAGGTCCAACTTGGTCCATGCTTTGGTGGGATATGTTCGTGTGTTGGGGGGCGGTGGGGAGGAGAGAGTACGCCATCATTGGCAGCCTCTAGAACCACATGTTTGGAAGGCAGATGAGAAGGTACCCAGAAAAAGGACTTTTGTTACAGGCAATTGGGCAGATCACACAAAAGCTGTGCACTCCACATGCTTGCCTCAGGTGAGCATAATGTACCTGATGTCAGGTGAGCATAACATACCTGTGATTCAGAGTTTTCTATCATTTCATCGTGACCACTTTTTTTTTTT